CCTTCTTAAATCATGTGAATTAAATGTATTTGGATCCATTTTTTAAATTTATGAGCATCCACTTTCAGTTTGCCATTCTTGATGTCATATACATGACATGGACACATTCACATAAGGACAGATAACGCAATACACAGTGTACACACATACAAAAGTAAGGGCGTTGTAGCTTTTTGCAGGTGAATCTCCATTGCAATGTTACAGATGTTTAAAAACTCCAAAGTTGAGTAAAAAATAGGACTGATAGGAAACCAAAAACCAAGAGTACCCTGAAGGATTGGAAGTGAAGGATCCCAGCCTCCTTTCGATTTGAGAGTAGTCACTAAGGGAGAAAGGAACGTGTACCCTGGCAACTTCCTCCAACCTTGCTACTTAATCGAAGGGAAGCAGAGGTGCAGGGTGGGTAGAGGGGGCCATGCGAGAGCAAGTAGCGGTTGGACTGAAAGTAGGTGAGGGAGGTCTCAGAAAAGTCAGAGCAGAAAGTGGAGAATGGTAGGGAGGGAGTTGGCCAGTGGGGTTGAAGTCTAGGGTTTCAGAGAGGGTCCTGAGGTTGAGAAGAGAGGGTTTAAGAGCTAGCAGAACCTAGGCCAGAGAACAGGAAGAGCAGAGGGATGATTTGTAAGGAAGGAAAGAGAAGGTCTGAGGATAGGGGATCTGTTTCCATTTTCCTGAAGGTGTATAATAGTTGAAAAGATCCCTAATAATATTGGGATCTAGAGTGCCCTTAAGCGACCATTTAAAGTCATTATCCAAAGGATATTGAGACCAGATCTAATTGCACAAGCAGATAAGTTTTGGGGGCTTTAGGTCCGGGGTGAGAGAGACCCTAGGTTAGCCAGGAGGCAGCCTAGGGGACTATGGGAGGGAATGGACGAGGAATTGCCCATATTGAGATGTAGGAGGTGAGTTTAGGGTAGGGTGTCCTCAGTCTCTAGTATCACCTAGTCAGAGAACAGTTACACTCAGGGGTCTTCACCATAGAGGCACTTGGGCACCTGGTTTTGACTACATAGTAGGGACAAAAGCCCGTAGAGATTAACCCAAGGCCTACAGGTAGTCTTACCAGGAACAACTCCCAATCACCCTCTTTTTTTTTTTTCTTCCAAAACCCACGACCCAAATAAAAGACCACCTATAGATGCCATTGACAGTAGGGATGAAAAGTGAAAGCTGTGGCTGGGGGTGCCCCCAACCACATGGTAACCCTGGGAATGCCAGACTATCCACAGTCATTTCCTGGGATCACCGTAGGTCATTTAGGTCAACCAGAGACAGGGATCTTACCTGATATGTCTGGTGGTGGGTGCAGAGAGGGTGTTTGGCTGAATGGAGGGCCTGATCCCACGATGGATTTCAGATCCGGGCCTGGGGATGCTCAGTGACCCTCGAAGAGGGGAACAGACACGCCGGGGAACCTGATCCTGGGTTTTAGCACCAATGAAAGGAAAGCGAGGAACAAGAAAAATGGAGACTAGGCAGAGATCCACACAAAGGTTTATTTGTCAAAGCTGACAAATAAAGGCCATCCCTCTATGGAGTGGAGGAAGGCACTCAAGATATTCGGATGTTCAATTTTTGTGGGGTAGGGTTTTGGAGTTGTAGCAGTAGCGCTTTGGGATAGGCGGGGGTGGGGGGTGCTTGCATCAGAGCTACGTGGGTGGGGAATAGCATGAGATTGGCTTTGGTAGATGGTACCTTGGGGCATTCCAGGGTCAAGGGGTCGTGTCCTTCTGGAATTGGCTTAGGGTTATGGTACCATGGGATAGATCACTAATGGGGGTGGGGGAAATTGGGGTAAGAGGAAGTACAGGAAAGTGAAATTTATCTCATGAGATGGTGGTTAACATTTAAGATGGCTGCTCAAATGTTAAATCAATACCCTATAACATGTTCATGTGATTGTTTTCTTTTATGTAGAGTCAAGTAGAGAGAGGATATACACAAAAAGATGCATAGTACTGACTTATTAACAAGTCAGTGAGGTATGATTGGTGGAGTTTTATGTGAGTCACTGGCAGCTGATGCAGTTAAGATTATTGGAAGAAGTGGGACCTAGTTGAGTGGTAAGGAAATACAGTCTTGTTTGAGGAGATAAATAGATAGATATATTGAGAACTGTTTTATGGGAGAAAGGCAAACACAGCAGAAGGAAATGAGATAAATAAGATTTAGAGAAGTACCTGAAGTGGGAAAAGTGGAGAAGATGAGGTATGCACTAAGTCATATGACAAAATCTAAGCAAGGAAATGAGAAATGCTGAGAAAATGAATCAGTAATTCAAAAGGAACAGAAATACAATGAAAGGAATAACGAGGGAGGAAGAGGGACAGTACATAGAGGACCTGTATGAGTAGGGAGGCTCTTTAAATAAACATACCCTTAGGCATTTGTGGCCTAACCCCAGGTCATGTGGAATGTAGCCAGAGGAGACTGGCTTTCCTGTTCCTCCATGGCTGCTGAATCTAATTGGGTTGCTGTTTCCTGGTAAGATGTGGTGACTTCTCTCCTGTGGTATAAGTGGGTTCCTTTAAGCTTTCTTTTCATTTGCTAATATATTTACTTACCTGCATAATTGGGAATGTGACTACCTAGTACATATTTTTAAAGTTCCACTCTAACCAACAAAACTTGGATGCTCCCCTGAAGTCCATCTTAATGGATTTTTTTTCTATTGTGGTGAGAAAGGAATCTTGGTGTTACACATAAGTCATCACCAGTTATAATTGTAGATTATTATATCAGAGTTCACTAGTTTTACCATGCTTTTTATGCTTATACTAGGAATTGATCTCAGGAATGTTCTACCACTGAGCTACATCCCCAGCCCTGTTTAAAGTTTATTTTTAAGTGGGGTCTCACTGAATTAACCAGGGTGGCCCCAAACTGCAAATCCTCCTGCTTCAGCCCCTCCCCCCAGTAGCTGGGATGACAGGCATATGCCACTATACTCAGTGGAGTCAACCATCAAGCCACAACCCCAGCTCTGTTTTGTATTTTATTTAGAGTCAGGGTCTCACTGACCTGCTTAGCAACCACTGTTGGTGAGGCTGGTTTTGAACTCTCCATCGTGTTTGCCCCTGAACCTAGCCCCAGCTCTTTTTTATATTTTATTAGAGACAAGGTCTCGCTGAGTTGCTTAGGGCCTTGCTAAATTGCTGAGGCTGGGTGTGAACTTATGATCCTCCTGTCTCAGCTTCCCAAGTTGCTGGAATTACAGGCATGCGCCACTGCACCTGGCTCTAAAGTCTTTTGATATACATAAGAAGCTTGTCCTTTTGGGATCTGAGTATAATATAGTCTAATTCAAATATTAGTATAAAGTGAAAATGCAGTCTTTTCCTTTGTAATTGTTTATTCAGTTTGCAAATTTTAAAACCTCTGTATTTAACTATTCTTTTAAAAAAAATTTTTAGTTATACATGGGCACAATATCTTTATTTAGTTTATTTTGATGTAGTGCTGAGGATCGAACCCAGTGCCTCACATGTGTGAGGCAAGATCTCTGCACTGAGCCACAACCCCAGCCCTGTTTATTTAACTATTCTTGAACAGAAAAGTTGGACAAAATTCCTTGGTATTTAATTATGTCATATTCATTTTAATACTGCTAGCAGTAATGACTGCTTTATTCTGTTGAGAAAACCAATAAAGTATAAATGAGTTTTAATTCAGTTATATTAGGAGTACCTAAGCCATCTATCATTTTTTTGTTTGTTTTTGATACTGGGGATTGAACCCAGGTTCACTTTACCACTGAGCTATATCCTCAGCTCCTTTTTTATTTTTTATTTTGAGACAGGTTCTCACTAACTTCCTGAGGCTGGCTTTGAACGTGCTATCCTCCTGCCTTAGGCCTCTTGAGTTGCTGGGATTACAGGCATATGACACCTAGCCCAGCACAACTATAATGTTTTAAATTTAAAATGGAAACTGGGGGTCTGGGTCTGGGGCTCAGTGGTAGCACACATGCCTGGTATGTGTGAGGCGCTGGGTTCAATTCTCAGCACCATGTGTTAAAAAAATAAAGATCTATCAGGAACTAAAAAATATTTTAAAAATAAATAAATTGGAAACTGGGTGTTTGTGGCTCACGCTGTAGCTCAATCCCAGCGACTCAACCCTGGAAACTGAGGCAGGAGGATTACAAGTTTGGGGCCAGCCTGGACAATTTAGGGAGAATATGTCTAATAAAAAGGGGTGGAATGTAGCCTAGTGGTCAAGTGCCCTTGGGTTCAATCCCTAGTACCATAAGAAAAAAACATGGAGTTTTATTTGTGAAAATGATTAACATTTTAGAGAACAGGACAATGTTTATTTTTTTAGTACCAGGGATTGAACCCAGGGGCAGTTTACCACTGAAAATCCCAGTCCCTTTTTATTTTGAGAAAGGGTCTTGCTAAATTGTTTAAGGCTTTGCTAAATTGACGAGACTGGCTTTGAATTTAGGATTCTCCTACCTCAACCTCCTGAGCGGCTTATAGACATGTGCCACTGTGCCTGGCCAGAACAAGACAGTTTTCATACCTAGCAGTGGTACAAATTTGATGTCCTTTCAGGGTAGAATTTGGCTTCATCCCTTTCATTCTTTTTTTTTTTTTTTTTAGAGAGAGAGAGAGAATTTTAATATTTATTTTTTAGTTTTCAGTGGACACAACATCTTTGTTTGTATGTGGTGCTGAGGATCGAACCCGGGCCGCACGCATGCTAGGCGAGCGCGCTACCGCTTGAGCCACATCCCCAGCCCGATCCCTTCCATTCTTAACCTATACAACTATAATAAATATATTAATTTGGTTTTTATTTTGGTACAGTATGTTGGTTATAAAAAAATTCACCATCCACATTAATATGTTTTGTCTTTTTACCTCATGTCTTAAATGGATAAATAATCCCTGTTAATAAGCTGACAGAGTAGAAATAACAAAATAATAAGAATTTCATATAAATAATTGAGAAACATTCCCAATGCTCTCTAACAAAGTGTGTGTTTATTCTTTTAGGCTGTAGAAAATCTCTGTTCTTACAAGATTTCTGCAAACTTGTACAAACAGCTGAGACAGATTTGTGAAGATCATATCAAAGCACAGATTCATCAATTCAGAGAATATCCTTTTAAAAACAAAAAATCCTAAATTTTTTTCTTCTTCCTTCCTGTCCCTTACTGTTTAACCCAGCTTAAAGTGGAATGCTTATGACTTCTAGATTCATTATTTTTGTCCTCCTGTGTTTCTATAGGAAGAAACAAAATTTTAACTATTCAGCTTTAATTAGATCCAAATCTACATATGGTATTCATGTAAATAAAATTCTTTATGTCTTTACCATTTTTGTCCTAACGAATTTCCATTAGAGGAAAGATGATTTAAGGGAAATCATAGACTAAAAACATGATGCTCATTTATGTTTAAGATTTGTTTTTAAAGGTGTATTTTAGTGGGATTAAGATTTTTTCTGTGGCTTAAGAAATAGCATTTTGTTCTATATTAAGTATTCTTTGATTTCATTTACTATATATTAAGTACTGTTTGGTTTCATTTGCACTTCATATTTAAAACAAATGCACATTCACATTGTACATATTACTTGTGTTAAACCCTTAACATATATCTCACGGATTCATTGGATAGTGTTCTTTTTCTAAAGAAGATTGACAGATGCTGGCAGAATCATTGTAGGCAAATGATCATGATCAGGAGCATTTTTTTGTTTCTGGATAGAACTTATGTTCTTCAGAATTCAATGCTACCCTCTATTTGGGACATGGGACTGGAGTTATTTAGGGCTCATATTATAAGTGATCAGAAAGTCCAAAATAAGACAATTGATGGCATTCTTCTCTTGATCGAGAGAGAAAGAAATGGTGAAGCAATTGATAGAAGTTTACTCCGAAGCCTTTTAAGTATGCTCTCTGATTTGCAAATTTATCAAGATTCTTTTGAACAACGATTTTTGGAAGAAACTAATCGGCTCTATGCAGCTGAAGGCCAAAAGTTGATGCAAGAAAGAGAGGTTCCTGAATATCTTCATCATGTTAACAAACGTCTAGAAGAAGAAGCAGACAGACTTATTACTTACTTAGATCAGACTACCCAGAAGTCATTAATTGCTACTGTAGAAAAACAGCTTCTAGGTGAACACTTAACAGCTATTCTTCAAAAAGGTTTAAATAATCTTCTTGATGAAAACCGAATTCAAGATTTATCTCTCCTGTATCAACTCTTTAGCAGAGTTCGAGGTGGCGTTCAGGTGCTCTTGCAACAATGGATTGAATATATCAAGGCATTTGGGAGCACTATTGTTATTAATCCTGAAAAAGATAAAACTATGGTTCAAGAATTGCTAGATTTTAAAGATAAGGTTGACCATATAATTGATATCTGCTTTCTGAAGAATGAAAAATTTATCAATGCCATGAAAGAAGCTTTTGAAACATTCATTAACAAAAGACCAAATAAACCTGCTGAACTTATAGCTAAGTATGTAGATTCAAAGCTTCGTGCAGGAAACAAAGAAGCTACAGATGAAGAACTTGAGAAAATGTTGGATAAAATTATGATCATATTTAGATTTATCTATGGGAAGGATGTTTTTGAAGCCTTCTATAAGAAGGATTTAGCCAAGCGCCTATTAGTTGGAAAGAGTGCATCTGTAGATGCTGAAAAATCAATGCTGTCCAAACTTAAACATGAATGTGGAGCTGCTTTTACCAGCAAACTTGAAGGAATGTTTAAAGACATGGAACTTTCTAAAGACATCATGATTCAGTTCAAACAGTATATGCAGAATCAGAATGTACCTGGGAATATTGAATTAACTGTGAATATCCTGACGATGGGTTATTGGCCAACATACGTGCCTATGGAAGTCCATTTGCCACCGGAGATGGTAAAACTTCAGGAAATTTTCAAGACATTTTACCTAGGCAAACATAGTGGCAGGAAACTTCAGTGGCAATCAACCCTAGGACACTGTGTGCTAAAAGCAGAATTTAAAGAGGGTAAAAAAGAACTCCAGGTCTCTCTTTTTCAAACACTGGTGCTGCTAATGTTTAATGAGGGAGAGGAGTTCAGTTTAGAAGAGATCAAGCAAGCTACCGGGATAGAGGATGGAGAGTTAAGGAGAACACTGCAGTCATTAGCCTGTGGCAAAGCTAGAGTTCTGGCAAAAAATCCAAAGGGCAAAGATATCGAAGATGGTGACAAGTTCATTTGTAATGATGATTTCAAACACAAACTTTTCAGGATAAAGATCAATCAAATCCAGATGAAAGAAACGGTTGAGGAGCAAGCAAGCACTACAGAAAGAGTATTCCAAGATAGACAGTATCAAATTGATGCTGCAATTGTTCGGATTATGAAGATGAGGAAGACACTTAGTCACAATCTCCTTGTTTCTGAAGTGTACAACCAGTTAAAATTTCCAGTTAAGCCTGCTGATCTTAAGAAGAGAATAGAATCCTTAATTGATCGGGACTACATGGAAAGAGATAAAGAAAACCCAAACCAGTACAACTATATTGCATAGAATGTTGACCTTGGTGTCATATGCAGTAGACAGTGGATAAACTAACTTGTTGATCCTATATTATTTGACTTCTTTTATACTACCGATGACCAAATGAAGCATTGTAATGGAAATAGTTGAGTGGACTTTTTCTCAGTGGTTAACATGCCCATTTTAAAGAGTAATACTTACCTTAAGAAGAATGTTGTTGAACTCTTTGCATGTTATTTAGTATGATGTGCAGAAAACTCTTAAGAAAGTACCCGGTCTTCATGATTCCTCTTTGGAACTGGGGAAGAGGTCCCTATGGCTATTATAAAGGGCGGGGGGTTCTTATACATCATTATGAAGCAAAAGGTTTATTTGCTTAAATTCTCATTTAAAGATACTTAAACTGCATGCAAACTTTATTTACTGTACAGAGTTCTGGATGTATTTATCAAATAGAAAAACCACCCTGGACTTGGTTGTTCACCTGTTTTGTGATTTCCCTTGAAAAGAAAAATAAGTTGTCATAGCTATTGATATTTTACTAGGTAATGTTCTGTTACACTGAAGGGGATGTTTTAAAAAAAGCTTATTTGGAAACAAGTTTTCAAGTAGGGTAACAGTTGCTTACATAGTATCTTGTATATTCACATCCTAAAATTTTCCATTTATGAGTATTGGATGTGTATATATGGCTTAGCCCCGAGTTTACTGTGCTGATTAACAGGTACTTATAAAATAGCTAAAATTAAAAGATTGCTGATCAGTCATATTAGAGGAACATCAGAGGAAAGAAAAATCCAACTCTTTCTTCATATTAAAAGTGCATACAATATAAAAATTGCAAAAGAGACCAAAATCAACATGTTCTGTAAATTATTACAGGAGTGAAAATTCATCAGCTAGTTTTCAACTTGATTTAGACTTTAAATGTTTTTGGACAGTTCTGTCTTTATCTTGGACCAATTGTAGATTGTTACAGGCTTTCTAGGATTTAGCATTCCAATTTTCTCTACCAAAGTGTGGATTTTTTTTGAAGCATCCCAGTTCTTCTCTTTGATAAATGAGCCTTTTAAACCATTTTGCTAACATCTTAAAACCCTAGATATAAAGGTCTTCCCTCATTTTCCCCACACAACCCCTATCAATTTCAAGTTCTGTATTCCTTTCAAAGTTGCTTGAAGTTAAAGAGTTCTCATAGCCACTGGACACCTTTTCAGGGAATGTCCCAAGACTGTTCACACATAGTATTGTTCTTCAATTGATAATGTGAGTAAAAGGCTTCATTACCATCAGTGGGATTTTGTTTTGTCTCCTCGTTTGTTTTTTCCTTGAAGGGAATCAGTTATGGAAGATGCAGAAAGTTGTGTTTTTTTTTTTTGTTTTGTTTTGTTTTTGTTTTTTAATTAGAACTTCTTTAATGCTTTTTGCAACAGCATATTTCCTTCCTGTTTGGAGCCATTAGGAAAGAAGCCTAGTTCCTAACCTTCAATTGAGGAGACTTGGGACTCTTCTGTCTACTATTGATTATTTTATTGAGTTCTCAAAGACCTGTGGCCAGCTATATATATATATTTTTTAAGTTGCCTCTTTTTTCTCTAATTGCATCAACTTGCACACTGTTGTCTAACTGCATATAGTATTTTAGAATTCCTTCTTAATTCTTTTTGAGCTGCCATTGCCTATGTTTTTTCAGCCTCACAGGAGCTCATCTGACAAGGAAATGTGGCTGTTTTGTTTGCCCCCTCTCCATACTGAACCATCTATCTCCATCAGTGTTCTAACTCACCCATGATGGTCTCTTGAGATATGTAGACCATTACACCAGACTCACTAATTACTCTTGAACGATTTTTAGAAAGAGTTGGTCCTATTAGAAGGAGACTCTTGATGTCACCTTCAGTATCTTGAAAGTGGGTCCCTTCCTTGAAGTTCTTAATTCTTTGAAAACTTGATGCTATTTCAGCTGAAAAATGAGCAAGACTATTAAAAATTAAGGGGAATTGTTTAAGAAACTAAAAAGTAATTGCAGACTACATTGGATAATTGTGACTTTCAGTTGTTCTGTATCAGTTGAATTTTTGTGCTCTTTTCCCTGTGTACGTGGTGGTTCTATTTTTCTCCAATAAAACTTTTATTTAAAAAAAAGTTTCTGGGGAATATCTTTAAAATTCACATATTGTAAGAAAGTTACAAAACCACAGTTTTGAGATAATTTTGAGGGACTATCAGGAGGGAGGGTATGGTAAAAGTAAAATGCCCCCAAAAATCTTCAGAGTAGGTAATTGTTCTTAAATGCCATTTTAGAAAAATCAAATACAAGTATAAATATTGTTACATTCCAATCCTCATAGTCCAGTATTTTTGTGAAGTCAGTATAAAACTAAGGCTAGAATTGAGAGGACAACTAGAGATTATGCTTATTTTATTTGTGGCACTCGTTCTAACTTTTCTGTTAATAATTTTGTGTTTTGGGCCGACTACTGTCACAAAAAAATGTTCCTCAAAGTTTCTCAAATGCAGTTTCCTGAGTTTGCTAAATGGTCTTAATATGATGTCTTTGTCATACTCTTGAAATTCATACTCTTTGTGGGTATAGTTCAGGAAATCAAGTTTTTCCATTTAGGCATCTGTATCTAAAGCTTGGAGAAGTTTGTTTTTAAAACTTAACATCTGTAAATTCTTTTAGTTAAAACTTTTTGTTTTAATTACCACTGTTTAATACTGCAAATGAAAGGAACATATTTTGTTTTCTTATTTACATAAAATTGGCAAAACAAATTGTTGAGTAGTGCCAATAGGAATTTGCATAATTATTCTTTATAAAATGGGGTTTGGGCTGGAGTGCTTGCCTTGCGTGCACAAGGCCTTGGGTTCTAATCCCCAGCACCACAAAAAAGAAAAAAAAAAAAAGAAATATTGTCTTTGCTAATGCTCCATTAATATAATACTTGCTTTATGTTTGAATAATGAACAGGTTCAAATCTAACATTGTTAATTTATTTTCGTTTTTCCCCTTGACATTAAGGATTTTCTTTTGAATGGATACATAAGAGACTTCAATATTTAATAATTCTTGGTAAAAGTTATGTGTAGCATAGTAAAAATAAAAGCCAGACTTGTTCTTCTGTAGAGCCTCTTTTTAATATCTTTATTTAGTTTATTTTTATATGGTGCTGAGGATTGAACCCAGGGTCTCACATGTGTGAGGCGAGTGTTCTACCACTGAGCCACAACCCCAGCCCTAGAGCCTTTTTTTTAATACAGATTATGGGAATGTGCTGCATTCAACACGTTAAAACTATTTCATAGTTTCAGATCCCTTTCATTTTTTCCTCTAATTCTTGTAATAAAATCTTTCAAAGCATTTTTTTTTGGTGTGTGTTACTGGGGTTTTACCCAGGAGTGCACTACCACTATGCTTCCAGCCCATTTATAAATTTTGAGAGAGGGTCTCCCTAAATTGCTGAGGCTGGCCTTAGACTTGGAATCCTGTTGCCTCAGCCTCCTGAGAAGCTGGGATTATAGGCATGTGCCATCATGCCTGGCAAACTTTTTAAAATTTTTTAAAAAATACTTTTTTAGTTGGACACAATACCTTTATTTTATTTATTTATTTATATGTGGTGCTGAGGATCGAACCCAGCACCGTGGACGTGCTAGGCAAGCGCTCTACTGCTGAGCCACAACCCAAGCCCTTAAATTTTTTTATCCTGGTAAAATACACATAACATAAAATTTACCATTCTATCATTTTATTTTATTTTTTCATTCTAATCATTTTTTAAATATTTATTTTTTAGTTATAGGTAGTCTTTATTTTACTTTATCTGGTGCTAAGGATTGAACCCAGTGCCTCATGCATGCTAGGTAAGCGCTCTACCTCTAAGCCACAACCCCAGACCCATTCTAATCATTTTAATACATTAACAATATTGTGTAAACATCACCATCATGTAGTTTCAGAACATGTTCATCAACCCAAATGGAAATGCAATACCCATTAAGCAGTCAGTCTTCAGTCCTCATTTACCCACCCTCTGGAAACCACTGATCTGCTTTCTGTCTCTGAATTTGCCTATTTTGGATATTTCATATCAATGGAATCGTGGCTTTTTGTGTGTGATTTTTTTTTTTATTTAGGTTCATCCATGGCATAGTATGTATCAATACTTAATTCCTTTTTATGATGGAAAAATTCATATATACCATATTTATCCATTCAGTTGTTAAAACATTTTGGGGTGTTCCCACCTCTTGGCTATTTTGAATAGTGCTGCTGCAAAGATTTGTGTTGTACAGTTTCAGAAAGGATTGTTTGTTTTTGTACTAGAGATAGAATGGGGTGGGTTGGGGGGCTTACCCACTGAGCCACATCCCTAGCTCTTTTTTTTTTTTTTTTTTTTTTGTATTTAGAGACAATTTGCTGAGTTGTTGAGTTGTTGAGGCCGGCTTTGAACTTGTGATGCTCCTCTCTCAGCCTCCTGAGTTGCTGGAATTATAGGCATGCACTACCACATCCAGCCCAACTTCATTCTTTCACATGTAATATGCAGTTGTCCCAACACCATTTGTTAGAGACTTCTTTCCCCATTGAATGGTCTTGTCACCCTTATTTTCAATTGATTGACTGTAGCTGTGTAGGTTTATTTCTGGACTCTGAATTATGTTCCATTCATCCATATGATGATCATTATGCTAGTACTATGTTATTTTAATTGCTGAACTTAATATCAGAATGTGTATGTCTTCCAACTTTGCTCTTCTTTTTTTAAAAAAAATATTTTGTTTTAGTTGTAGTTGGACATAATACCTTTATTTTATTTTTATATGGTGCTGAGGATGGAACCCAGCACCCTGCACGTGCTAGGCAAGGGCTCTACCGCTGAGCCACAACCCTAGCCCGCTTTGCTCTTCTGTTTTAAGACTGTTTTAACCATTTGGGACCTATGTAATTCCATATGAATTTTAGGATCAGCCTTTCCATTTCTGTAAAAAAAAAAAGCCATTGGGATTTTAAAAGGGATTGTGTTAAATCTATAGGTCATTTGGGGAGTATTCCCTTTTTAAATATTAAGTCTTGTAATCCATGAACATAAGAAAACTTTCTATTTTTAAATCTTTTTAAAATTTTAGTAAAATTACACACATTTTTTTTTTTTTTTTTTTTTTTGGTCCCAGGGAATGAACTCCGGGACACTTGACCACTGAGCCATATCCCCAGCCCTTTTTTGTATTTTATTTTAGAGACAGGGTCTCACTGAGTTGCTTAGCACCTTTCGTGCCTTTGCTGAGGCTGGTTTTGAACTCGCCATCTTCCTGTCTAAGCCTCTCGAGCCACTGAGATTACAGGTGTATCCTAAAATTTCATACTTTTCAGTGTATAAATCTTATATCTCCCTAAATATATTCCTTAGTATTTTACTCTAATGCTCTTATGAATGAAATTGTTTTCTGAATTTACTTATCATGTTGTTCATTGCCAGCATATACAGCCTTATACAATTAATTTTTTTTCATGTTTATCTTGTTTCTGCATTTTCTTTGGCACCAGGAATTGAACCCAGGAGTGCTTAACCACTGAGCAAAATCCCCAGCCCTATTTTTTTTTTTTTTATTTTGAGACAGGATCTCACTAAGTCCTTTAGAGCCTCACTAAGTTGCTAAGGCTGGCCTTGAACTTGCAATCCTCCTGCCTCAGCCTCCCAAATCGCTGGGATTATAGGTGTGTACCACCATGCATGGCATGAGTAGAATGTTTTATGTCTGCTAACTCAAGTAGATTTGTACTGTTCAAGTTCTCTATTTCCTTATTCATCTCTTGTCTAGTTCTATCCATTATTCAAAGTAGGACATTGAAGTATTCAGCTATAATTGAAGTTGAAGTTCTTCTAATTTTTGTTTCATTTATTTTGGGACTCTTAGATGTGTTCATATTTGATTGTTATACCTTCTCAATGCTCCTTATGTCATGTAATAGTACAAATTTTTACTTAAATTTTTATTTTGTCTGATATTGGTAGAGCCATCCTACTTCTGTTTTGGTTATTATTTGTATGCAATATCTTTCTATCCTTTCTCTTTCATCTAAAGTGAGCCTCTTGTGGACAATCTATCTCTTCCTTTTTTTTTGATACTGGGGATTGAACTCAACCACTGAGCCACATCCCCACCCCTATTTTGTTTTTTATTTAGAGACAGGGTTGCTGAGACTGGCTTTAAACTCTGGATCCTCCTACAGGCATGCACCACCACGCCCAGCTCATTTTACTTTTAAAATAAGTACTGATATGGGCTGGGGCTGTGGTTCAGTGGCAGAGTGCCTGCCTAGCATGTGCAAGGCACTGGGTTCGATACTTAGCACCACATTAAAAAAAATAAATAAATAAACAAAAGTATGCTGTCCCTCTAAAACTATGAAAATTTTTTTTAAAAAAATAAGTACTGATATGGGAAAACTTCTGCCATTTGGCTATTTATTTTTATATCTTTATTGTTCCTCACCTTTATACTGCCTTCTTTTGTGTGTTTTTTTAAACAAATGGTTTTTTTGTTTTGTTTTGTTTTGTTTTACTACTATGCTTGATAAACATGATATAATGGATACTGCAGCTTTACTTGTACATTTGTTCTTAGGTTGAAATTTGTAATTTACTGATCTTAAACATCCGGAGATGACATACCCTTATGTGACCAGCACACCTAGGTTTCAGAGTTGTAGGTCTGTGACATATTTAATGCTGACAACTAAAGGCATTCTCATTTTTTCTTTTTTAACTAAACCAATAGCATTCTTATTTAGCAAAGATTGCCAAAGTCATGTGAACTTGAAGCATTTAAGTTAAGTCCTGTATTTACTTCATTTATGTGTTTTGCTTTAAGTCAACTAACTAGAGCTCATTTAAAGATAAATTTTTGTAGTACCCACACAGAGGTTAAAAAATATCATGTAGGGCTGGGGATGTGGCTCAAGCGGAAGCGCGCTCGCCTGGCATGCATGCAGCCCGGGTTCGATCCTCAGCACCACATACAAACAAAGATGTTGTGTCTGCCAAAAACTAAAAAAATAAATAAATAAATATTAAAAATTTCTCTCTCTCTCTCTCTCTCTCTCTCTCTCTCTCTCTAAAAAAAAAATTAAAAAAATATATCATGTATAGGGACTGGGGTC